CACAACAGAACACAACAGCTCAAACTCAGAGATCACTTCCACCACCGTCAAGCGAAGTCGGTTGCACTTCGATCTTCAAACTCAATCAGGGTTCACACTGCGGCCCTCACCTGCGTGCAGCGACATGAAAAAAAGTGCCAGAGCTTCTCGAATGTCTGGATCTTCAACATCCTGCATCTCTCAACCGAATTTGAAGTCTCGTATATTTCATACCTTCCCGCAACAAAACCCTGCGCAATTCGATCAGGATGATGTGATCCAGATCAAGACTCTGAAATGGTTCCGCAGTGGCTAGGCTGATGGATGCACGGGGTTTGCTTAGAGATACTGAGTGGGCGTTCAGTTCAAAGGCGTGGTTAACCGGTCGCCCCAGTTGCCAAAGGAGGGAAAACAAAGGTGCATCCAAACTGGTGATTTCCACAGCCAGAACTGCCGAGATTCATCATGTCAAAGTGTTTTTATGTATATTTTTTATATACTAGAGCTCTTGTATCGGAGGGAAGGAGAGAACAAAAACGGAAAGGGAAAATACTAAACCATACTAAACCCATGAACCCATGATGGAATTTTATGGAAACCTTTCTCGCACCATTACGTCAGTCCTCCATGGGTTCCAACAAAAGAGCCAAGGCTTTGTGCAAATCGATTGAACTCTTCCACCCAGACGTAGAGCGATCAACCAAAAAGCCAAGGCTTTCTGCAAATCTTCGTCGTCCTGGCCACTGTGCATGTTGGACTCAAAGCGATCGTCTCCAGAGCTGCCCACCGAAAACTTCTGTCTTACTAAAACTGCCAAATGAAGCGCCAAACTATGCATTTTGAAGTTGCAGAGTGCTTTCATGGCGGCTGGTGGGTCATTGAGCAGTGATGGGGCGGGCACGACCCAGGCAGGTAGCATTCATCAAAGGATTTGGATTTGATCCTTTGCACATTTACTGAAATTGACTTGTTGCAAGACTGAAAGGAGATCAGAGGAGAGAGGAGAGCGGAGGAGAGGAGAAGAAAAGAGAGGAGAAGGGAGGAAATACAGGTCTGGAAACATCTCTGACCTCTGGAAGCGTTCTGAAGTGGCTCCTTGGATGGAAATTAAGTTTATAATGTAAGATGTTGTAGGCGAAACGCTGCGTGCGTTTCAAAAGTTTATGGAATTAAACGAAACACACGTGTATACATGTGTCCATTACCTGCGCCAAAGCATCTGTCTCAAAAACCAAAGAGAGAGAGAGAGAGAGACAATCGGTATCATAAGTATCAGCAAGACAAGAGAGTGGACTAGCACAAGAGTCACAACAGAACACAACAGCTCAAACTCAGAGATCACTTCCACCACCGTCAAGCGAAGTCGGTTGCACTTCGATCTTCAAACTCAATCATGGTTCACACTGCGGCCCTCACCTGCGTGCAGCGACATGAAAAAAAGTGCCAGAGCTTCTCGAAGTTCTGGATCTTCAACATCCTGCATCTCTCAACCAAATTTGAAGTCTCGTATATTTCATACCTTCCCCCAACAAAACCCTGCGCAATTCGATCAGGATGATGTGATCCAGATCAAGACTCTGACATGGTTCCGCAGTGGCTAGGCTGATGGATGCACGGGGTTTGCTTAGAGATACTGAGTGGGCGTTCAGTTCAAAGGCGTGGTTAACCGGTCGCCCCAGTTGCCAAAGGAGGGAAAACAAAGGTGCATCCAAACTGGTGATTTCCACAGCCAGAACTGCCGAGATTCATCATGTCAAAGTGTTTTTATGTATATTTTTTATATACTAGAGCTCTTGTATCGGAGGGAAGGAGAGAACAAAAACGGGAAGGGAAAATACTAAACCATACTAAACCCATGAACCCATGATGGAATTTTATGGAAACCTTTCTCGCACCATTACGTCAGTCCTCCATGGGTTCCAATGAAAGAGCCAAGGCTTTGTGCAAATCGATTGAAATCTTCCACCCAGACGTAGAGCGATCAACCAAAAAGCCAAGGCTTTCTGCAAATCTTCGTCGTCCTGGCCAGTTTGCATGTTTGACTCTGCACAGTCGTCTCCAGAGCTGCCCACAAAAAACTTCTGTCTTACTAAAACATGCCAAATGAAGCGCCAAGCTATGCATTTTGAAGTTGCAGAGTGCTTTCATGCTGGTGGGTCATTGAGCAGTGATGGGGCGGGCACGACCCAGGCAGGTAGTGGATTCATCAAAGGATTTGGATTTGTTCCTTTGCACATTTACTGAAATTGTTGCAAGACTGGAAGGAGATCAGAGGAGAGCAGAGGAGAGAAGAAAAGAGAGTGGAAGGGAGGACATATAGTTCCGGAAACATCTCTGACCTCTGGACGCGTTCTGAAGTGGCTCCTTTAATGGACAAAAGCTTACGGAATCAAAAAACAGATATGCCCATTCTCTACGCAAGAGTATCCATGTCAAAACCAAAGAAAGAGAGAGAGAGAGAGAGCGAGAGAGAGAGAGAGAGAGAGAGAGCGAGATAGACAGAGATAGACAATCTGTATTGGCAAGATTCAGCAGAAGAACATCAATGTATTAGAATTATACCGTTTCAGGTTGCTCACACTTGAAGGCTGCCTCTGTAGACCTGTTTGAGATCTGCCCAATTACAGTTTCCCCGGTTGTGGCTCCTGGAGGGATCTTCGGACGGCTTCCAGCCCGTCTGGATCTTCTACAACCTTTGCATCATGATTCTAAGTCTTCACATTCCACAGCCAGACAGCATGGCCGTCCGAAGCCAGCACTGAGGGCCTCACAGCTGCGCTGGATATCTGCATCATCTTGACCTCCATCTCTGCCAGGCGACGCTGAGCTGTGTCTGCATAGGGGTGGCCATGCTCCACCCAGATCTTGAAAGCACGCTCCACCAGCTCCTTTGCTCGGCGAACATCTCCCAGACATTCATGAGCTGCGCTGAGATTGAACACGGTAATCGCTACATGTGGATGATCCTTCCCGTAGTGCTGCTCCAGGATTGTCAGGGCACGCTCGAGCAGGTCCTTCTGCTGGCTGTAGTTGCCCAGGTATCCATGCGCATTGCCCAGATTTGCCAAAGTAATGGCTACTTGGGGATGTTCTTTCCCGTAGTGCTGCTCCTTGATTCTCAGGGCACGCTCGAGCAGGTCCTTCTTCTGTCTGTAGTCGCCCAATCCATGCGCATTGCCCAGATTGTTCAAAATCTTGGCTACTTCTGGATGATCCTTCCCGTAGTGCTGCTCGAACATTCTCAGGGCACGCTCGAGCAGGTCCTTCTGCTGTCTGTAGTCGCCTAAGCGTTCATGCGCATTGCTCAGATTTGCCAAAGTCTTGGCTACTTCGAGATGTTCTTTCCCGTAGTGCTGCTCGAACATTCTCAGGGCACGCTCGAGCAGGTCCTTCTGCTGTCTGTAGTTGCCCAGGTATCCATGCGCATTGCCCAGATTTGTCAAAGTAATGGCTACTTCGGGATGTTCTTTCCCGTAGTGCTGCTCCTTGATTCTCAGGGCACGCTCGAGCAGGTCCTTCTGCTGTCTGTAGTCGCCTAAGCTTTCATGCGTATTGCCCAGATTTGTCAAAGTCACTCCTACATAGGGATGTTCTTTCCCGTAGTGCTGCTCCGTGATTCGCAGGGCACGCTCGAGCAGGTCCTTCTGCTGGCTGTAGTTGCCCAGGCTTCCATGCGCATTGCCCAAACTTGCCAAAGACGCTGCTACTTCGGGATGTTCTTTCCCGTAGTGCTGCTCCGTGATTCGCAGGGCACGCTCGAGCAGGTCCTTCTTCTGCCTGTAGTCACCTAAGCTTCCATGCGCAATGCCCAGATTTGTCAAAGTAATGGCTACATAGGGATGTTCTTTCCCGTAGTGCTGCTCCCTGATTCTCAGGGCACGCTCGAGCAGGTCCTTCTTCTGCCTGGCGTCGCCCAGGTCTCCATGCGCAATGCCCAGATTTGTCAAAGTTGTGGCTACGATGAAGTGGTCTTTGCCAAATTTCTTCTCCATTTTCTCCAACAAATCCTTTCCAATTTGTTGGGCTTTGGCTGCAAATCCAGTTTGATTGAAGACAACAATCAGCTTGCCTGCGCTGCGCATGGTGTCTACACTTTCCTCCCCGAAAGTGTTCGCGGCGAAGTTGTAAGCCAATTGTCGAAAAGGAAGCTCGCACCACACCTGGTGTTCCTGTTCCTCTGCAGTCTCGGCCATCTTCTCAAGTTGCGTCAATGTGCCTTGCATTGTGGGATCTTCTGCATCCAAGTTCGCCTGGATCGTGCGGCCCAAAGCGCCTCCGAAGAGTTGCTTGCAAAGCTCGACATCTTCCATGAGCTCCTCCCATTTCACGATTCTGCCTGGCGACTTGTCGCCACTGGGCACATAGACGTGCACAAGCTCGGGTTTTCGCACATATCCAAACTCCCACCGGCAGGCTTTCGACCTCAACATGCCGACAAACAACATCAGCTATAAACACCTGAACCCTGTCAAAACCTGAATCTTTCCTACCTCCACAAGAAGAGCAATAACAGGTGCCCAACTGAGCTGAGATGCTTCAAATATGAATCGGTCAGCTGCAAAATGAGGAGTCCGTGCCTGGTTTCATTGGCGGCCTCTTTGTAGTGCTTGAACCAGGGAGGATATTCTCCCGGCTGCCGGGGCTGATCCAGGTCCGAAAAAATCGGGTTCCAGCGTCTCATCTCTTGCGCTTCGTTGATGTGGAGCCCCATCCCCAGTGACTTGTCGGTGCAGAAGGTCACCGGTCCTGAGTTGTTATGAGTTGTTCAAACAACAATTCGTGCAATGCAAGAGGCGAGAAGGTATACTATGTTTACTGTAAACTGGAACATGAGGCAAAACAAGCGCATGACTGTGAATCCTCCGGACGGGTTCTAACGACATGACGGCAAGAAGCGAAGACCCCCATCATAGTTGACTCCCGTCTTCAGTTCGTGCAGGATCCGATTGTTTTCATCTCTGTCTGGACTTGCAAAGGAGATCAGGAAATCGGCATCAGTCGCAAGTTTCTCGCCTTCTGGTTCTCCTCGTGCGTTGTAGCCGACGCACATCCACTTCCGCTGCTGTCGCAGCCGCATCTGAGCTTCCAAATCGTGCATTGTCAAGGCATCTGCCAAGTCTTCATCCTCTGCAGCACCTTCAACACCTTCGAGTCTTCGAGCGATGCTGCGGTTGTTGTAGGCCTCAGCCAACTCCTCATCCAGCTCGATGGCTCGAGAAAAATCTTCCAAAGCTTCGTGGCGTCGTCCCTGGCAAAGGTGTGTCCAGCCGCGGTCGTTCAAGGCCTTTGCCTCTCCAAATGTCAGAACTACAAAATCTGGCAACAGGAGACCAGCAAAATCAAGCAACTCAAAGCAAAACTATAGGAGTGCATTGACATGTGTACAGCACCGATCTCTCTTTTATCCAAAGAACCCTGTGCAAAGAAGAACATCGGGTGAATGACATAGACATAGGCAAGTGAAAAGCTTCAGTTGAAAGGGACCTGATTTGTTCAGCACCTCTCTTTACAGAGCCTAGAGAATCCCTAGAGAATCCCTAGAGAATCCCTTGATGCTCAGCAGCCACTGCCCCGTTGAAATAGCCTCAGTTGGCTCCATCTCCGGCTCGCACCTGAAGTTCCCCACGCGAAGAACGGGTGAGGGTCGTCGGGTCTGGGCTGGTCACCCCCAGAAAGAACATTGAAAACTGTAATGAAAGTGTAGCAGTTTGCAAGCTGCAGAAAAACAGCTGGTATGTTATGGTATTTTTAGGTTGCCTAGATCCAACGAAGATCCACCTGTCCCACGAAATGCTTCACGGCTGCTGGAAGCATGGGATGAGATCCTCCCAAGTCTTCTGACTTTGAATAGAATGCACGTGTGTTGTCCGCTATCCATGGATCATTTATTGAATTGTCAAATGAGGCAAACATCAAACACCATAGAAAAAATCACGCTGTGGAAACATGTGCATCCACTTTTTGGATAATCTTCCAGATCGGTTCGGGGTATGCCAGGCCTACAAATCAGCTGCACGATCCCAATGTGCTTGGCAATGCGCCGATCGTACCAACTCGTGAAGATCTGTGATGTTTTCTCATACTTTTTGAGGCGCACATTGGGCATGCACAATAAACATCCTTCAAGTACAAGGGCGACATAGTGAAGGACGATGCCCCAAACGCGGTTGTGAATGTGAGGCTATACGTTTGTTTTGGTCTCCTGCATGTTGAACTGTTTTTGCAAACCGACCCTTGGGAGCCAAGTTTCTGCAAGTCAACTCATGAGAAGCACCCGCCATTTTGGTCCTTATCCTCATCCAATCAAATTTGACTTCGCAGGGTGGATATACGTGGAAACTATGGTTTACATTCACCTTGCCAACAGCTGGGATCATGATGTCATGTGCCCATCAATCATCCTCATCAAACAGCATGTGTTTGAATTTAGTCCAAGGTGGAAATCCTTCACCTGGCCTGGTTTCCTAAGTGTAATAAATCGTGTCTTGAATCATCAGGAATCGCACTGAAGGAGTCTCATCCAGAATCTGAACAAAATCAGCCAATTGTTGTCCAATTGTCCTGCACTCGCCTGCGCTAACAATGTTTGTCCGTGCTCCGGCTGCGACTAGAGATGAAGTGGGAAACAGCCAGTGCTGCGCCTGGGCTTTGCCCAGGCTCTGGCGGTCAAATGCGGCCTGTCTTCCATGTCGCAGCTTTGGCATGGCATCGAATTCTTGAAAGAATTGAACCAACTAGAAGAACCATGAAAAAACTAAGAACATGCACAGACTGACACTGACTGTCAAATTCATAAGACAAACGTTGGGGAAGAACGGAAGAACCAGCTGCTGTGGTGCGAAATGAATCCGTGAGACCAATGAGTCCGTTCACATGATCTGCAAGAGACTATATCACGAGCAACGAAGGCAGAAACCACGAAAGTAAAGACAAACAGTTTAGCAAACATTATTTCGCAGCATTTCGCAGCACTACTCAGAGAAGCCTGGATGCTCCACCTGACGCATCTGAAGGTTTTTATTTTGTGTCAGGGATGCTGCATGGTCATGTCAATAACGTGAACAGTGAACCATAGTGAGGCGCACCACTGCTGTCTAGACTTCAAAATCTAAAGGCGCAGGTACACTCGGTTACGGCTGCAAAAAACAAGCTGATGGTTCTTGTTGGCAACATGTAAAAGGAAAACACCATGGGGAAATACGCAAATCACAAGTCACAATTGCGCGGTAAATTGGGTTGCTGGGAAGTCATTCGTGGGTTCAGTTCAACCCTTTGCCAATGGCAAGTGATTTCCGTGTGGAAAAACATAGAAAAAGGACTGCACAGAGCTTTCTTTCTACATTTGCCCCTATTGCACCCCTGAAACGTCACACACTGACAAGGTGGAACTTTGAAAAATAAACCCAAGTCAAGACATGGCTACAGTAACTTCAAATACCGTGCAGATACAGACATTGACAAATTGATGTTCAAAGTTCGAAGGGATATCAACTCTTCCTCCATGCCCAGAACATATATGGCTCGGTGGGTCTAGAAAATATCTTCATGGTCAACATCCTTGGCAAGGCTTGGTCCTGTACAGGGGCCATCCAATAAGGTGATCCCTGAGGTTCCCCGGATCTCAGAATCGTTGCGACTGGATGCAACTGGGATATCTTGGGGACAAACAAAGCTTGCAAAGGATGGATCCAGGTTCACGGGTTGGTGAACATCCGAGCAACTCTTCACATCTTGAAATGGTGGTCTCAACTGGCCGGCAGGACCATCTTGATCCAAGATGAAGCAGGATGCGAAGCCACAAGTGTTCCTGGCGTCAGCTGTTCAGATCTCTGACATGATGAACTCGTTGGTCAGAATCAGATCATGAATACCAACAAGGATTGTGGTTCTTAGTGGCTGATGGTTGATGGTTGTTGCAGGTAGCATCTAATCAGCCCCATGCTGTTCGCCGTACCAATCACAGTGGTGATGTGGCCGCAGCTAAAACACCTGGCGACACCACATCCCCAGCTCCCAAATCATGCAATAATCATCCAGTCTTTTAGTTACTCAAAGCCAAATTCTTCAAGGTGTCGTTCCCAATTCTTGGCATCACGAAGTATCCCCATCTTAGAATCTTGGCTGGTCCAACCCCCGTGTCTGCTGCTAAAACTTGTTGAGTTTGTGGCCGCTTTCAACCCAACCAATTGAAACAATCCATGAGGAAAAGACATGCTATAAGCTCGACTTAAGTCCCAACTATCGACTACAAGAAGTGTTGAAACCCATTCTGCATGGTGAAATATTATGATATCACCCCATCTCCGGGTCCCGGACTCTTCGGTATCCTCCAGGATCCTCTTGGCGCCCTTGGTGAGCTCTTTTTCGGACATCCTCAGGCGGGACCAGCGGCGTATCCGCCACTTCCATGATTGCCATGTGCTTTTGGTGGGAAAATGGAGGATTTACGGTTTACTTCAGATTTGGAAAAGAACTGGGCCCAATCTGTGGCTTGGTTGCACTCTTTTTCATCATCCTTCAGCTTCAGATTCACAAACATCATGATCAGGTTTACCAAAATGGAAGCATTGCAGCAAGGGGTAGCCTTCGTTTAAAGGTGACATTTTAAGCTCCTTCTCCCACATGGATGAAAATGGACCTGACATGGGCATGAGTTGAGGAGTGTTTTTTGATGGACAGGACGCCAAAACGCATGATTTTCACACCTAAATTTGGCCCAGAACAGCAATGATCCAACAAGAACAAGAACACTGTCTTTAGAGGTCTTTAGGGTACTCACAGATTCCAGACGTCATGACTTGAAAGTTCAATACAAGGACGATCGAGCTCAGCTCAACGTCCTGTTCTCGGCAAACAGGCTGCAACTCTGCACCAAAGCGCCAGGTAATGTGCCTATTGTGCATGATTTTGTCATATTTTGCCTATAAGTTAAGTTCATGTTGTATCATTTTGTAGGTTCACAATTTTATCTTCAGAGGTCAAATTACACCGTCCCATTTTCAAAGCTTAAGAAAACCGATCCCAAAGCTCAGCAGCTTGGAGTTTGCCAAGGCACTCTGAGAAACAACAGAACTGCGACTCGACACCGACCCGTCACACAGACAGCCAATGCTGCGGATGCACCTATAGCTTTGTGCAAAATGGCCAGATCACGAGGTTCGTTTGGGTATAAGGAACAAGCGGAACCGGTAGATGAAGTTCAGAAATGGCAGGGGTTGATTTTCGAAGCCCAATGAGCACTGCGAAATGGTTAGGCAATGTCTGGCATGCTTCTCACTTGAATGTTCATCCACCATTTGGACTGAAAGTATTGTCTTGAATTTTGACTCATGGGTTCAGGCGCCTTTTCAGGCAAAATGTCTGCAGAATCGCTGTGAATCTGATTCTTCCCAGCCCCTTGGCCTGGGAGAGACCTAACTACAGCTTTGGCGAGGTGGCACACTTGGAGTGACATGTACACCTCAGGGCGTATGACGTATGACTTTTCACAATCTCAAAAACCTCATGCCACCTGGCCATAATCGCGTGGCGACCCCAAAAGGTCGTTGAACGTTGACCCAGTGAGGGTCAACTACGCCAAAAAAAACGCCAGTGTGTCGGAAGACTGCGGGAAAAAACCCAGTACTGAACTTGGCTCACAGCCCGGAGACATCCAAATTGCTACTGAATATTTCTAAATCTATTGCAAACATCTGCAAACTTTGCTGCACTCCCAGAAAGGTCGAAAAAAAACATAATTCTTTCATCCGGTTCTCTAAATTGTCTTGCAGGGTGCAGGTGCTGATCTTTTCCAAGATCCCTTTGAGATCTGGCAATGGCCCGAATTGGCCGATTGAATGTGACAAGTTGTGCGCCTCCTGGCACAGCTAAGATAGGCACCGAAAACGGGCCTCAGAGTGGAGCCCTTCTAGGAGCCTGGTTGCATGTTGGACCGGACACAAAGTCTGTCACGTAAAGTTGAACACCTCCCCATAAAACTATCTGTGCAAAGCCATCTTGCACCTGACTATGATCTTCTCAATCAACCGCTGGGGTTTACTCGGAATTCAGCCAGAAAACTAATTCTCCGAAACAAACGGAAAAAAACAAGAGTGGACTAGCACAAGAGTCACAAGAGAACACAACAGCTCAAACTCAGAGATCACTTCCACCAATCAGGGTTCACACTGCGGCCCTCACCTACGTGCAGTGACATGGAAAGTGCCAGAGCTTCTCGAAGTTCTGGATCTTCAACATCCTGCATCTCTCAACCAAATTTGATGTCTGGTATCTGTAGCATATCTTCCCCCAACAAAACTCTGCGCAATTCGATCAGGATGATGTGATTCAGATCAAGACTCTGAAATGGGTGCGAGTCAAAAATCGGGTATGGATCGCTCCGCGGTGATCCGTACTATGGATCGGGAGTGTTTATGTAAGGTGCCTGATCCGTACCCTTTCGCAAGGGCTCATCATAGCATACAAACTGTGCTGATACTCCCACTATCTGCTACTTACTATTACTTCTCCTCCTGCAACTGTTGCTGCTAAAACTACTACCACTGCTTTTAGAGGGAGCAATTAAAAAAAAAACAGCACCAGCAGCAGTAGTGGCAATAGAAGGAGAAGATGCAGTAGCAGTAGAAATAGCAGTGGCAGTACTAGTAAAAGTCAAAATTAAGTAATAATAGTAATCTAATGGTAGTAACAGCAGCAGCTGCAGTAGTACTAGGAGTAGTAGGAGGAGTAGAAGTAGTAGGAGTAGGAAAAGGAGTAGGAGTAGGAATAGGAGTAGGGGTAGGGGTAGGAGTAGGAATAGCAGCAGCAGCAGTAGTAGAAGTAGAAGTAGAAGTAGAAGCAGTAGCAGCAGCAGTAGAAGTAGTAAATAGAATCGGACTTTCATATTGGCATTTGTTGTGGCGTGACTGGGTTCGGGTATGGATCGGGTATGGAACGGGTATGGATCGGGGTATGGATCGGGACACGCTATCTGGGCCGGCTTTCCCGCTATGGCTGTGAAGGAAGAGAGCGGAGTATTTCTAGTCTAGTCTAGTTCTACACGTGCCAGGCAAAGCAGAAACAGAAGGAGCTCTAATCACAGCGCCACTAGGAGTACAAGAAGCACCTAGTGAAACTAGAACCGGCCTTACTAGGGATGGCTAACACATCACTTGCGCCTCCACTTTTACATCACTTGCGCCTCCACATCACTTACGCCTCCGTGCATCACTTACGCCTCAAGAATTAATCACTTACGCCTCAAGAGCTAATCACCGTTGCCTCCAGTGATCTATTTCCCCTAAAATCTCAGAGTCTTCTTTTTTTTTGGCGCAAAGTATAGCATGCTCAACGACACCTACATGTTCAAGAGCTAATCACCGTTGCCTCCAGTGATCTATTTCCCCTCAAATCTCAGAGTCTTCCCTTTTTTTGGTGCAAAGTATAGCATGCTCAAAGACACCTACATGTTCAGAGAGCTAATCACCGTTGCCTCCGATGATCTCTTTTTTTTTGCGCAAAGTATAGTAGGCTCAAAGACAGCTACATGTTCAGAGCTTCGTCAAACGCGAAGCACGCCTCTTGCGCGCTGCGTCCTCAAAGAATTGATAACTCTTGATGCTTCTTGCTATGTGCTTTTCTGTCGCTTCAATGAAATCGGGAGAAGGCGCCGCAGCAGCTGCTGCGACTGACTCACTCATAGGCGCAGCAGCACTGGAAGGCGACGCACCACCAGCGCCGGAAGATGCTGCCACAGCAGCGCGTCGAGGGGAAGCATTCTTTGCTGACACATCTTTTCTCTGTCGCTTTTGCTTCGGCTTTCGTGGGAAAGCGACCTGGAAGTTCTCGAGTTCAAGCGCATGCAAGCACAGCAGCATGTGCTCACAGCTTCCGGCACAGCAGAAGACGGAGCAGAAGAAACAGACACCACGAGTGTGTCTTGCAGCAGCTTCCTGGGATCATGCACAGTTGGACATTCTATTGGCTTCAAGGTATTGCCAAGAGGTGTGCACATGTTCCGGTTACATTGACGAGAACAATTCCAAGACATCCATATGGCAGTCAAGGGCTACTTCATATGACATGCTGAAACACCTGAGAAAATAGCATGCGTTCAAAGTGCTTCCTTTGCATTCTGCTGGCGCCAGTGGCAAGAACAACTGCAAAGACATGCGTGTCAGTCAAGGGCTATTTTGAATGACATGCTGAAACATGAGAAATGAGCATGCGTTCAAAGTGCCTCCTTTGCATTCTCCTGGCGCCAATGTTTCGCACTCTCTGGTCCTATGCCCACCAGCGCCCAGCGAGCCACGACCCGCAAGACTTCCTCAGGGCTGCGGTGCGCAGGGCTCGGCCCACCAAGCCCCAAGAGCGCAGCAGACACGGCTGCCTCATCCGTTGATGTAGCGATGGTGATGAGGTGGCGTACCTGTCCAGCTTCATTGCGAAGAAAAGAATCATGTGCTTCCCCCAACCAGCGTGGAAAGAAGGTGTCACTCTTTTGTCTTTGCTTTGTAAGTGTAATAGTAATAATAATAGTAGTAAGAAAGGCAGGTAAGTGTAAATGCACTTGTAATGGTAATGGCAACTGGAAGTGTAATAGTAATAATAATAGTAATGGGTGTGAAAAAGTCTCCGATTTTTGTTTCATGGCAAGCATCTCTGCTCACATGTAAGGCTGTCCGCTTTCAAGAGAAGGCTGGTGCGCAAACATGCAAGCTGCGGACGATGGTCATGGTTAGCATTCACACCATCATGTTCACCACATCATCATGCCAACCCCACGGAATGCATGTACGAACGTTTGCTTTACATATAAAAACGCGGGAGGGGGGGGATTGGGGGAAGGGCGCAGCGCCTCCCCCCAAAGCAAAATGCATGTACGAACGTTGCTTTAAGTATAAAAAAGCGGGAGGGGGGGATTGGGGGAAGGGCGCAGCGCCTCCCCCCAAAGCAGAATGAAAGCACCTCTTCTCACATGTAATGCTGTCAGTTTTCAAGAGAAGAGAAGTAATGTGATACTCAGAATTTCTACTACTGTGCAAAAGGCAGCTTACATGAAAAGTCCCGTACTTGCAGATGCGGAAGCTTGGGTTTAGATCAAAAGCGGGTGGGGGGGATTGGGGGAGGAGGGGGTTAGCATTCACACCATCATGTTCACCACATCATCATGCCAACCCCAAGGAATGCATGTACGAACGTTTGCTTTCAATATAAAAAAGCGGGCGGGGGGGATTGGGGGGAGGGCGCAGCGCCTCCCCCCAAAGCAGAATGAAAGCACCTCTTCTCACATGTAATGCTGTCAGTTTTCAAGAGAAGATAAGTAATGTGATACTCAGATTTTTTTTGTACTGTGCAAAAGGCAGCTTACATGAACAGTCCCGTACTTGCAGATGCGGAAGCTTGGGTTTAGATCAAAAGCGGGTGGGGGCGATTGGGGGAGGAGGGGGTTAGCATTCACACCATCATGTTCACCACATCAGCATGCCAACCCCAAGGCATGCATGTACGAACGTTTGCCCAACTAATGTATGCTGTCAGTTTTCAAGCTTGATACTCAGGTTGTGCTTACATGTACTTGCAGATGTTGGGTTTAGATCTGTTGCATTCACACCATCATGTTCACCACATGCTGCTGCTTGGTCCCCCCAAAGCAGAATTCTTCTCACATGTTGTGTCAGTTGTTCAGATTTTGTACTGTGCGAGCTTACCAGTCCCGTACTTGCAGATGCGGAAGCTTGGGTTTAGATCAAAAGCGGGTGGGGGCGATTGGGGGAGGAGGGGGTTAGCATTCACACCATCATGTTCAATATTGCTAGTAGCTAGTCAACTAGTTGCATTTGCCCAACTACCAGAAGCATACGGAGGAAGTGAACCAGCACCAGCAGCGGGAGCAGGACCAGCAGGAACAGCGCAAAAGCGACAGCAGTAGTAGCAGCTCCTGGGAGGAAAACGACTAGTAGTGGCAGCAGCAGCAGCAGCAGCAGCACGGAGGCAGCAGAGGGAGGAGGCAGCGGAGGCAGCAGTAGTAGCAACGGTAGTAGCAACAGTAGTAGCAACGGGAGTAGCAGTACGAGGACCAGAAGCAGTATTAGGATAAAAAGCAGCATTAAGGCCAGCATCAGTCTTTCTTGGGGTATGGATCAAGGGTATGGATCATGCAGCATCATAGGGTATGGATCAAGGTATGGATCGGGGGGTATGGATCGTGTGTGGGTCCGGGGCCTTGATCCATACCTTGTATTTTAACTCGTACCCAAATGGTTCCGCAGTGTCTAGGCTGATGGGTGCACGGGGTTTGCTTGGAGATATTGAGTGGGCGTTCTGTTCAAAGGCGTGGTTAACCGGTCGCCCCAGTTGCCAAAGGATGGGAAAACAAGGTGCATGTGATTTCCACAGCCAGAACTGTCGAGATTCATCATGTCAAAGTGTTTTAAAAATATGCTCCTGTATCAGGCTGTAAAGCCGAGAAAAGAGGATCTTGCTTAAGAATAGAGAATAATAGAGAATATATCCTAGAGTCCCATAGTAAGGCTTGTATCCGCTCTCTCACATGCCCAGCATGTGGAACCAAAATCTAGCGCCCCAGCACCGCTGGAAGAATCTTAAATAAACTCTTCAAGACACTCCAAAATCCAGAATGCTGCAAACGAGTTTAAGAGGGTTTCAGATGGTTGAAGTGTCCCCAAGCAAGGCAGAAAGCCGGGAAACTATATGCAAGTGGCCTGGGGCCGGCAGCATATGACTAAGGATAGTGAATTGCGCGCTTCCATGGCGGAAACCTTTCTTGCACCATGTCAGAAGTGAGCCCAACTCTGCGCCAGTGCGGTCCTCCAATGGTTCCAACGAAAGAGCCAAAGCTTTCTGCAAATCTTCGTCGTCCTTGCCGCTTTGCATGTTTGACTCTGCAGAATCATCTCCAGAGCTGCCCACAATAAAGTTTTGTTTTACTATATATATTTTTTTACTATAGACATGCCAAATGAAGTGCCAAACTGTGCGCTGTGAGATATTGCAGAGTGCTTTCATTTCCGCTGGTGGATCGTTGAGTAGTGCTGGTGCACAGCTAGTGCTGCAAGACTGAAAGGAGAGAAGAGAAGAGGAGAGGATGTCGAAACATCCCTGGCCTCTGAAAGTGTTCTGAAGTGGCCCCTTACATGAACACGCTTCAGATGTTGTAGGCGCAACGCCGCATGCGGTGCAAACATTTACCACAAGACAATGCAAATGTGTCCATTACTTACGCAAAAAAAAACACAAAAGTCTCTGTCTTAAAAATCGAATCGGAGAGAGAGAGAGAGAGAGAGAGATAGAGAGAGAGAGAGAGGGTATCAGCAAGACTCAGCGAACTTATATACCTTTTTGGATTGTTCACACTTCATCACTGCCTGGCTTCACCCGATTGAAATCTTCCACCCAGACGTACAGTGATCTACCAAAAAGCCAAGGCTTTCTGCAAATCTTCGTCGTCCTGGCCACTGTGCATGTTCGACTCTGCAGACGTCAGTCCTCCACGGGTTCTAACGAAAGAGCCAAGGCTTTCTGCAAATCTTCGTCCTGGCCAGTTTGCATGTTTGACTCTGCGCAATCGTCTCCAGAGCTGCCCACAAAAAACTTCTGTCTTACAAGCGCCAAGCTATGCATTTTGAAGTTGCAGAGTGCTTTCATGGCGGCTGGTGGGTCATTGAGCAGCCAGGCAGGTAGCATTCATCAAAGGATTTGGATTTGTTGCTTTGCACATTTACTGAAACTGACTTGTTGCAAGACTGAAAGGAAATCAGAGGAGAGGAGAAGAAAAAAGAGGAGAAGGGAGGAAATATAGGTCTGGAACCATCTCTGACCTCTGGAAGCGTTTGGAATCAAAAAACAGATATGCCCATTCTCTACGCAAAAAGTATCCATGTCAAAACCAAAGAGGGAGAGAGAGAGAGAGAGATAGACAATCTGTATTGGCAAGATTCAGCAGAAGAACGTCTATATATTAATATATTAATTAGTATTCCACCCGTTTCAGGTTGTTCACACTTCAAGGCTGCCTGGGTAGACATGTTTGAAATCTCCCCTGCCTTAAAAATTCTGCCCAATTACAGTTTCCCCGGTTGTGGCTCCTGGAGGGTTCTTCGGACGGCTTCCAGCACGTCTGGATCTACAACCTTTGCATCATGGTTCTATAAGACTCTTTTGTGGGAACAAGGTAGCTCATTGGAAGGTGGCTCATCAAGGGTTCAACAAATTAAACACAAATAAAAAACATATCACATCATAAGAACAAATACCATAAAATGAGGAGAAACTTTAGGAGGGTGCATAACTTGGAATACGTCTTCCACAAAGCCCCAGGGCCTCACTGAGGGGCTCACTGAGGGCATCATCTTCACCTCCATCTCTGCCAGGCAACGCTGAGCTTGCTCTGCATAGGGGCTGCCATGCTCCACCCAGATCTTGAAAGCACGCTCCAACAACTCCTTTGCTCGGCGAAGTTCTCCCAGAGAGTCATGAGCTACGCCCAGATTTGCCAAAGTCTTGGCTACTGAGGGATGATCTTTCCCGTAGTGCTGCTCCTTGATTGTCAGGGCACGCTCGAGCAGGTCCTTCTTCTGCCTGTGGTCGCCCAGGCTTCCATGCGCATTGCTCAGATTTGTCAAAGTCTTGGCTACTTCGGGATGATCTTTCCCATAGTGCTGCTCCTGGATTCTCAGGGCACGCTCGAGCAGGTCCTTCTGCTGCCTGGAGTCGCCCAAGCTTCCATGCGTATTGCCCAGATTTCCCAAAGTTGTGGCTACGTTTAAGTGGTCTTTGCCAAATTTCTTCTCCATTTTCTCCAACAAATCCTTTCCAATTTCTTGGGCTTTGGCTGCAAATCCAGTTTGATTGAAGACAAAAATCAGCTTGCCTGCGCTGAACATGGTGTCTGCGCTTTCCTCCCCGAAAGTGTTCCTGGCAAAGTTGTAAGCCAGCTGTCGAAAAGGAAGCTCGCACCACGCCTGGTGTTCCTGTTCCTCTGCAGTCTCGGCCATCTTCTGAAGTTGCATGAAGGTACCTTGCGTTGTGGGATCTTCTGCATCCAAGTTCCCCTGGAAGGTGCGGCCCAAAGCCTCTCCGAAGAGTTGCCTGCAAAGCTTGGCATCTTCCATGAGCTCCTCCCATCTGACGATTCTGCCTGGTGATTTGTCGCCACTGGGCACATAGACGTGCACAAGCTCGGGTTTCCGTATGTAACCGAATTCCCACCGGCAGGCTTTGGACCTCAACAAGTCAGCAAACAACATCAAACACATTCGAATCCTTTCACATCCCAAGTACTTACTCCCTACTCCAACAAAAAAACCCGTCCAACCCAGAAGCTGTAAATACGAATCGGTCAACTGCAAAATGAGGAGGCCATGCTTGGTTTTTTCTGCGGCCTTTTTGTAATGCTTGAACCAGGGAGGATATTCTCCGGGCTCCCGGGGCTGATCCAGGTCCGAAAGAATCGGGTTCCAGCGTCTCATCTCTTGCGCTTCGTTGATGTGGAGCCCCATCCCCAGTGACTTGTCGGTGCAGAAGGTCACCGGTCCTGAGTTGTTCAAAAAACGTGCAATGCAAGAAGGTATACTATGTTTACCGTAAACTGGAACATGAGGCAAAACAAGCGCATGACTGTGAATCCTCCGGACGGATTCTAACGACATGACGGCAAGAGGCGAAGACTCCCATCATAGTTGACTCCCGTCTTCAGTTCGTGCAGGATCCGATTGTTTTCATCTTTGTCTGGACTTGCAAAGGAAATCAGGAAATCGGCATCAGTCGCAAGTTTCTCGCCTTCAGGTTCTCCTCGTGCGTTGTAGCCGATGCACATCCACTTCCGCTGCTGTCGCAGCTTCATCTGCGCTTCCAAATCGTGCATTGTCAAGGCATCTGCCAAGTCTTCATCCTCTGCAGCACCTTCAACACCTTCGAGTCTTCGAGCGATACTGCGGTTGTTGTAGGCCTCAGCCAACTCCTCATCCAGCTCGATGGCTCGAGAAAAATCTTCCAAAGCTTCGTGGCGTCGTCCCTGGCAAAGGTGTGTCCAGCCGCGGTCGTTCAAGGCCTTTGCCTCTCCAAATGTCAGAAAACTACAAAATCTGGCAACAGGAGACCCGCCAAATCAAGCAACTCAAAGCAAAACTATAGGAGTGCATTGACATGTGTACAGAACCGATCTCTCCTTTATCCAGAGAACCCTGTGCAAAGAAGAACATCGTGTGAATGAAAAACTTCAGTTGAAAGGGACCTGATTTGTTCAGCACCTCTCTTTACAGAGCCTAGAGAATCCCTAGAGAATCCCTTGATGCTCAGCAGCCATTGCCCCGTTGAAATAGCCTCAGTTGGCTCCATCTCCGGCTCGCACCTGAAGTTCCCCATGCGAAGAACGGGTGAGGGTCGTCAGGTCTGGGCTGGTTACCCCCAGAAAGAACATTGAAAACTGTAAAGTGTAGAAGTTTGCAAGCTGCAACAGTGCAGTCGTTTGCAGGGAGGGTGAGAAAAACCATCTGTCAAACGAAGGCATCACGGCTGCTGGAAGCATGGGATGAGGTCCTCCCAAGTCTTCTGACTTTGAATAGAATGCATGCGTCTTGTCCGCTATCCATAGATCATTTATGGAATTCTCAAATGAGGCAAACATCGAACACCATCACCATAGAAAAAAAAATGCTGTGGAAACATGTGCATCCACTTTGGATAACTATCTTCCAGATCGGTTCGGGGTATGGCCTGCAAATCAGCTGCACGATCCCAATGTGCTTGGCAATGCGCCGATCGCACCAACTCGTGAAGATCTGTGATGTTTTCTTACACTTTTTGAGGTGCACATTGGGCATGCACATTGAACATCCTTCAATTTCAAGGCCCCAAACGCGGTTGTGAATGTGAGGCTATACTCGTTGGTTTTGGTCTCCATGTTGAACTGTTTTTGCAAACCGACCCTTGGGAGCCAAGTCTCTGCAAGTAACACCCTTCATGCGAAGCACCCGCCAGCGTGAAAGAAAAACCTGTTGCCATTTTGGCATATTTTGGCCCTTGTCCTCATCCAATCAAATTTGACTTCACAAGGATATACGTGGAAACTATGGTTTACATTCACCTTGCCAACAGCTGGGATCATGATTTCATGTGACCATCTCTAATTTTCCCCATCAAAAAACGGGTGTTTGATCATTTACATCATCAGCCACTTGTCCAATTGTCCTGCACTCGCCTGCGCTAACAATGTTTTTGCCCCTGCTTCAGCAAGGCTGCGACTTGAGATGAGAAACAGCCAGTGCTGCGCCTGGGCTTTGCCCAGGCTCTGGCGGTCAAATGCGGCCTGTCTTCCATGTCGCAGCTTTGGCATGGCATCGAATTCTTGAAAGAATTCAACCAACTAGAAGAAACATGAAGAAACAATGAAAAAACTAAGAACACTGTCAAATTCATAAGACAAACGTTGGGGAAGAACGGAAGAACCAGCTGCTGTGGTGCGAAACGAATCCGTGAGACCAATGAGTCCGTTCACATGATCTGCAAGAGACTATATCCCGACCAACGAAGGCAGAAACCACGAGAGTAAAGACAAACACAGTTTAGCAAAATATCAAATTGCAGCAATACTCACCCTATAGGTCAGGCAAGGTTATTTGGAACAAAATAGGTAAAAGTGATTTTGGAGGCAATTTTCTAACTAATAGTTAATTTTTAAGGAAAACATTCTAGGTATTTTTTTTTAACTACATAGTTAATTTTTAAGGGTACAGTTCAAGGTAATTTTTGG